TCACCACCCCTGAACGATCGTGGTTCCGTTCTTCCATCATTACCGTCCTCCGCTTCATACAATGGCCCGTCATCTTGGTCCTTCTGATTTGGTCGCTGAATCGATTCTCGGTTGATGCCGACAGCACAGGGCCGGGATGGGTGGAGCGCACTTTCAGTGGCAAGAGGGCAGAGGATTCCTCTGTTCAGGAATGGCTCTTTGGTCGGGAAGGCCTGGTGGAAACTGTGGCCCTCGGCAACTGGGATAGGCTTCTGAGATGGTCTACCCCGGTCTTCCAGCTGGCAGAGGGATTTTGCAGTTTACTGGTGATTCAAGCCGCTGGGCAAATTACCCGCTGGCTCGTCAACCGAGGTGGTCGTAGCGATAGCTGGATGGTATGTTTTTGATGCCCCCCCATGTCTGTCGCGATAAAAATTAACTCTTGTCTTAGATCGGCCTCTTGGTCTTGTCCGCTACGATCATCTCCAGCTCGGTTTACTTCCTCTGGCGTGTTCTGCAATTCCCCGAAATCTCCAACGTCGATGCCGCCTTGATAGGAGTCTCCGTCACATGCGCCGTCATTCTGTGTGCCTGGGGTATTGGAAGTGGTCGCGGAAACCCGGTCGAAAGCTCTCTCCTCTTCGCCTACATCGTGCTCTGCATCTATCAGATCTTCACGGACTATCAGCCATCGCACCCCGTGGAACAGATACCCTCGCCCTCGCAGGTCGGAGACTTCCCCCCACTGCCTCCAATTATTATGGCGTCGTACACGACCCTGATGCACGCGCTGTCTCTTCTGCCGTCGATTATCCATGCAGCCTTCAACGTCATTACCACCGTCTTCAGCGCTGTCACACCTTCTGTCCTCATCTCGCTCGCCTACCGCCTGCTCGTACTGTATGCATCGACGCGCATCATCCCAGCGGTTCGCGAGTCTGGCGCCCGTGCGCTTTCCCAAGAGGCTTCCATTGACGATACCGACGCAGCAGGCCAGGTGCTAGGCTTCCTGAGCTACTTCGCCCCGAGCATTCTTATCGCTGTCTACACCAGTCTCCTCATGCAGCACTTCGCATCAACATCACAAGCAATGGGTGGCAGCGGTGAATGGTGGAGCACCCAAGGCAACGGTGGTGGTAACCCATGGCGGTGGATCAATCTTGCTTGCACAATATCCCTATACGCGGTCGAGCTATGGCTGGGAGAAACCAACGATCTCGACAACGGAGTAGCGGGCCATTGGAAAACCGATTGAATGACGAGTTGCCAGAGTCAACGACTGCTAAGTCAATATGCCTACGCTTTCCTTTTTATCAATTGCTCCAGCAACAGCGCGGCAGGAATCCGAAGGTCAATCGAATCGGCCTTCTTGCCTCCTTCGCTGTGGTATATTACTGCATGAGCCGAGTCGGCTACAAGCCTACCCCATGACCTATCTCGCAGCATCCTTGACAACGAAAATGCCACTCAGCGGCGGTTCGGGATTCACCGATGACCTTCCCCCTTTGCTACAGCGACGATAGCGCAAGTCCTTCAGGGTTGTTTCAACCACCTTGACGCCATATATCACCGGTCTGACTTCTGACTGGACTTCGTTTCACGTCACTTCTTCCCTGCTCTTCCTTGCTTCCTCGCCAAGCATACCTTTCTCGATTTCTATATGGGGGTATTTGGTTGTCTCCTTCTCGAGACAAGCAGCACTCCGTTCAATATGCCACACCCCTTTTCATGACTCGACGATACCAGATAAACCTGTTGCTTTTTCTTCTTTTTCCTCTCTGTGTCTTCCGTATCCACCCTGAATTACCACTGTTTATCCAGTTCGACACTTATACCCTCTGCTGTCCACGCTCAACCTTCTTATTCACAACTTCCTGGTTTCTCTTTCGCTCCCCCTCTACCGAATCTTGCTCCATCCACACACACACGTACGCGCGCACGCACACACAGTCCGAGTCAAACCATTACTTGTACATAGGTTACCGGGTTCTTTCTTCACTTGTATTTCTTGCCAGGCGCTGGGTGGGGTTTAATAGATATTCGATTTTTTTTTCTAGATTCGATTCGAGTGTTACAGAGCTGCGCAGGTATAGTCTTATAGGAGATCATTGATTCCTTCGATCTTCCATGGGATATTTTGGGCTGGTCGGGTCAACACATCCCCGTTTCTTCTAGCCTGGAGCTTTTGTCAAATTTGTTCCAGTTTTAGCCCATTAGAGAATAGCAGGTAATGTTGAAACCGTTCATTTTTTCAGTTTTCCGCTCTATAGTCCGTGAGAATCTCGACTATTCTCTTCTGGCCATTCCTATCAAATCCAAGCTTTCTATTTATTTAAACTGTAGTTCTGTCCAAGAGAATCTTACAGCTCTGATATAGATCTCGTACATCGAGAGCTCATAGTCACATGCTAGCTTCCAGCCCTACTCTCAAGCCCTGATAACCCGATATGGAAGCGCAGATAAGAAATCCAGCCAGCCAGAGCGCAGCAATTAATACGTGAAGACCTTTAGACGCATTCCCTTCCATTTTGAATGTTCAGATTCAATAACTACTTCAAAATGGCTGAAAACGTAGCAAAGAAGCTCAAGACCTCGTCCCCCTTGATCGGGACACACAAGTGAGTGCGATGTTACTGCATTACTGCTCATCTAGCTCCATCTGCTCACGTACTGACTTAAAACAGCGGCCACTTCCACGCCGACGAGGCCCTGGCCGTCTACCTCCTCCGCCTGCTCCCCACATACGCCTCTTCCCCGCTCATTCGCACGCGCGATCCAGCCGAGTTGGAGAAATGCCACACCGTCGTCGACGTGGGCGGCGTATACGACCCCGCCATCCACCGGTATGACCACCACCAGCGGACCTTCTCAACGACCTTCCCGCAGCGCGCCACCAAGCTCTCCTCTGCCGGCCTGGTGTACATGCACTTCGGTAAGGCAATCATCGCCCAGAAGCTGTCCCTGCCCGTGGAGCACGCCGATGTAGACCTGCTGTACGAGAAGCTGTACACGGACTTTATCGAAGCGATTGACGCCAACGACAACGGAATTTCCGCCTACGACCAGGCCGCACTTACCGCAGCTGGAATTGAGAAGCGCTTCAAGAACGGCGGCATCACTCTCGCCTCCATGGTCGGCGACATGAACAACCCAGACCCCACCAGCCCGCCTGGCGAGCCCCAGGACGAGGACAGCCTCTTCGGACGCGCCAGCACGCTCATTGGCAACGCGTTTGCGCGCAAGATGCACCACGCCTGCACGTCCTGGTTGCCCGCCCGCACGACCGTCGGCTCCGCTTACGCCTCGCGCAAGGACGTCCACCCCTCCGGCCGCATTATTGTCCTCCCGCAGGGCGGCGTGCCCTGGAAGGAGCACCTGTACAACTTTGAGGCTGAGGCTTCAGGAACCAAGGAGATTGACCCCGCCGTGCAGGCGTACTATGTTCTCTACCCCGAGAACGCTACTGAGGGAGCCAAGTGGCGTGTGCAGTGTGTTTCCGTCTCCGAGAGCAGCTTTGAGTCTCGTAAGCCTCTGCCTGAGGCGTGGCGCGGTGTCCGCGACCAGGACCTTGATGGGGTCATGGCTGCGGAGGCCGAGAAGAATGGCCAGAGCAAGATCCCCGAGGGCGCGGTCTTTGTTCACGCTAGCGGGTTCATCGGTGGCCACAAGACAAGAGAGGGTGCTATGGCTATGGCTGAGCGCAGCCTTGAGCTATAGATTTTTGGTGACTTGATAAATAAAGACTAAAAAAGAAAAGGTTGCATTTTTGATGAAATGTTCTATATTATGACGTCCAAAGGAAATCTATGATCTATTTTGACATGACCTTTTCTTCCTTTGCAAAATCTGGGTCTTCAGACATGTTTTTTAAATAATCAATTTGGTCTTGCATGAAACGCAAATGCCTGCCAGAGAAACGCCCAGCAAGACTCTTCGGGGCTTTTCTACTCGGGTGCCTAAGATACAGTAGACCAGTCTTGGATGTATCTGTCGTATCAAATTCGGACTGCCAATTGAGCCCGATTGTTGTTTCTCAATGGCAGATGAGCGAGAAGCCTTGGTATTCAGAAGGCGTAGAACCAAAGGAGGATGAGCCTCGAACCATTCTGATCGGATGACCTTTCTCTGGCTTTCTGCAATGGCGCTCCAGACATTGGAGCACTTTTCCACATGCTGACCAGAGGAATGCTTTGTTCCTAACGAAGGATTGGCTTTTTGCGCTCGAACCAGAGGGCATCGGTAGAGTCCTGGGGTCGAGTGTCTGGTACGCCTAGCAATTTGGTGAAGCATGAACAAGCCCTCAGTGACGAATGCTCAATGCACTGATATCTTCAATGCTTCCAGAGCCATCTCCGGAAGTCGACATGTCCTTGGGCTCAACCTGGGTGGCTGAATCCTCACGCTCGCCCATTGCGCGCTGGATGAGCTTCGCCTTCGTAGCGGCGCCTTTGAGACGCTCGTCCACGTCATTGACAGCTTCTTCGGTATTACTCATATCCAGCGTGGCCGGATCAACAAGTTCAAGAAGCGTCTGGAGATTCCTGGCCAGTCGAGTGCTGTGTGGTGGGAGACTGGGCATGTCTTTGCAGATAGATGGATCAAGAGAAAGAGTATCCGTTGTGTTATCCGCCTGCGCTGCGGCGCCTTCGGACGACTTCAAGTCGAGTCTCTGTGCCCAGACTAATGCCTTGCCATACAAGCGGCCCATCTCGACGAACTTCTCGAAGCCTTTCTCAACGGCGAAAACGCTCCCTTCCGTATATCCGGTAGCGGCTCCATCCGCGATGCCCAGCTCATATCCCTCATTGTAGAATTGCTCCTCCAGATCAAGGAGACTGTCCAGAAGATTGTGCTCCATGGTGAATATAAGGGAGATAGAAGATATAATATCAAAAGTTGAAGAGTCTAATCGATAACCTTTTTTTTTTCTGATATGCGCGGGCATGTGACGAGATGCCCACTTTCTGATTTTCCCGCCTTTGCCCCTCCGACAAAGACATTCTCTCCTTCAACGCTACAAGATGACGGATCCCATATTGCCCAAAGCCGGCGAGCGCAATATCCTCGTGACGAGCGCTTTGCCCTACGTGAACAATGTTCCCCATCTGGGCAACGTCGTGGGCTCCGTGCTGAGTGCCGATGTCTTTGCTAGGTATGACTCAACCCCACACAGAATACAGCATTGCGCCAGGAAGCTAACAGTTACTCAACAGATATCACAAGGCCTGTGGCCGACGCACATTGTATATCTGCGGTACAGATGAATACGGAACCGCAACCGAGACTAAGGCGCTGGAGGAGAAGATGTCGCCAGAAGATCTGTGCGCCAAATACAACAAGATCCACCAAGACGTGTACGAATGGTTCAACATTGGCTTTGACCACTTCGGCCGCACACCAACACAGAAGCACACCGATATCTCGCAGTCGATTTTCAAGCGCCTGCACGAGAACGGCTACCTCGGTGAGCGCACCGCCGAACAGCCCTTCTGCGAGCAGCACGGCTCGTTCCTGGCTGATCGCTTCGTTGAGGGCGAATGCCCCCGCTGCCACTACGACGATGCCCGTGGAGACCAGTGCGACAAGTGCGGTCACCTCCTCGATCCCTTTGATCTCATCAACCCGCGCTGCAAGATCGACGGCGCTGCCCCCGTCCGTCGCGAGACGAAACACATCCACATCCTACTTGACAAGCTCCAACCCGAGATCGAGAAATGGGTCCACCCCGCTATTGAGAAGGGTAACTGGCCTAGGAATTCGCGCATTATCACCGAGTCCTGGTTGAAGGAGGGTCTGAAGGGCCGTGGTATCACCCGAGACTTGAAATGGGGTGTTCCCGTCCCGCTGGAGGGGTACGAGAACAAGGTTCTCTACGTGTGGTTTGAGGCTTGCATCGGCTACCCCTCGATCACGGCTAACTACACAGATGACTGGGAGAAGTGGTGGCGCAACCCGGAGGATGTGCAGTTGTGGCAGTTCTTGGGCAAGGACAACGTGCCCTTCCACAGCGTCATCTTCCCCGGTACGCAGATCGGCACGAAGGATAAGTGGACCATGCTCCACCACCTGAGCACGACCGAGTACCTCAACTATGAGGGCGGCAAGTTCAGTAAGTCGCGCGGCGTAGGTGTGTTCGGCACGAACGCCCGTGAAACCGGCGTCCCCGCCGACGTGTGGCGTTACTTCCTGCTGAAGAACCGCCCTGAGACTGGCGACACTCAGTTTGAGTGGGCCCCCCTTCGTGGACAGCAACAACGGCGAGCTCCTCGCCAAGCTAGGCAACCTCGTCAACCGTATCATCAAGCTCGTCACCGCCTCCTACGGCTCCGTCATTCCGGAATTCACCGTGCCCGAGACCTTCAACCCATTCCTGAGAGGAAGTCACCGAACACCTGCGCCAGTACCATGAAGATCTGGAAGGCGCACACCTGCGCGCCGGAGTGCAGACAGCCATGCGCATCGCCGAGGCGGGTAACGGGCTGATCCAAGCGAACCGACTCGACAACGCGCTGATTGCGAACGAGCCTGAGCGCGCCGCTGCCGTCGTGGGAACAGTACTTAACCTGATCCACCTGCTCTCCAGCGTGTTCTCGCCGTACATGCCTGCAACCTCGAAGTCGATTCTGGAGCAGTTGAACGCACCCTTCCTGTACCTCCCCAGTGTGGAAGAGCTCCAGTCCGGCTGGAAGCCTACTTCCCTGAAGGCGGGCCACAAGATCGGCAAGGCAGCTTACCTGTTCTCTCGTATTGATCCCAAGAAGGCGGATGAGTGGCGTGAGATGTTTGGTGGGTCGCAGGCCGACCGGAAGAAGAAGGAGGAGGAAGCTGCCAAGCTGGCTGCGAAGAAGGCTGCTGCCAAGGCCAAGAAGAAGGAGAAGAAGGAGAAGGGCCGTGCTGGCGCTCCTGAAGGTGGTGTTGAGGGGTCTGCTAAGGGTGGTGCGGAGAAGGTCTCCGTTACCACTGAGGGCAAGAATGATGAGGCTGTTGAGAAGGTCACTGATGGGGTGGCGCAGGTTACCCTGCCTACCTCGTAGATTATCAGGTCTTCAACAGGGTGATCTAGACGAGAAAAATAAGAAAATACATGCAAGGCGCGTTGTGGGGGCTTTCTTTTTATGATTCTCTATGAGATGTTGTGCATGGGTGAACGGGGATCATCTTCTGGGCATATTGAACTGGCTTGGGGAATTTTTCCTTTTTATAGGTATCATACGCATGGATGCAATGAAGGTGTTTTGTTTTTGATGGCCTGATAGGAGAGTACGTCTTGATATATGTCCCATCTACTTGTCCCTGCTCAGCTCTACGATCTATATCCCACAATTCAACTACATTTCCAAGGTTCTCGCAGAACCTTCCAAGAAAATAGCTAGGCTAGCAGAAAAGAAATCCCATTTGCACTTAATCAAAACACGCCGATATGGTAAAAAGTTTCATTACATGCTCGTTGTAGCGATGGGACTCGAAAGCGATTGGCGAAAAAAAAAATTCCCTCCATCCCATGCAAAAAAGAAAGAAAGCTCCCAAATCAACGCTTGCGCGTGTTCGGTCTGGGCTTTGTCTCATCCGGTCCGATAGGGTGCAGCATGACCTTGTTGACAGTCTGCTGGGTGTTGGCGGAGTAACCCTTGCTCCAGTCGTAGCTGACGGAGTAAGCGAAGATATTTCCATTACGGTTGAAAGCGGTGGTAGTGATAGGACCTCCGACAGCGGGGTAACCCTTGAGACGGTGCTTCGCATCCTTATCCCAGAAGTGGAAAGTACCATCGGAACCTGCAGTGCTGAAGGTACCATGAATGGGGTGGAAAGAGATAGCGTTAACGGAGTAGATATTGCAGACATCGCGGTTTGCAGGTGGGGTTTCACGGTGGCACTTGAAGGAGAAGTTCGAGGCGGAATCCTTCTCCTCGACGTACTGAATAGCGCAGCGACCCTCAACCGAGCCGACGGCGAAGCCCGAGGCATCTGAGAAGCAGCTGACTACCCGCGTCTGCCACTTGAGGGGTGATTGCATGGTCTTGTAGAACTTGGTGGGCTGGTCGAGGTTGATGATATTGATGTAACGGTCCGCGGTGCCGATGACGAGCAGCTTGTTCTTGACGTCCATGGTGTAGACACGCTCCTGGCACTCGACAGAGGCGATCGCGGTCGACTGGCGCAGATCCCAGTATTTGACCGTCTTGTCCCACGAGCCGGTGATCAGGAGTGGAGTTCCGCCCACGGAGGGATTGGGGATCATATGGCAGCTTCGAATGGGGGCATCGTGCGCGGCAACTTGGGTTGTGGTGCCTGAACTGAGATCGAGCATGCGGGCTGCCTTGTCGGCACCAGCTCCGACGACCTTGGTTCCATCCTGTAAGAGAGAGAAAAAAAGATGATGTTAGTTTCTGTGCATGGGACTTGGATTGTGAGGGGAAATATGTAGGGGGTGGTGAGAAGAGGTGGGAGCTTACTGGAGACCAGCAGCAGTTCAGAACTGGAGCTTCGTGCTCGAAGAGTGCCTTTCCTTCACTTTGTCCCTGGTCGTTGATTTCGTAGATGCGGACTTTCTTATCCCACGAGGCCACGGCGAGGTGCTCGCTGGTAGGCGAGAAGCGGAGATCGGAGATGCCATCCTCTGGAGGAGCGTTGAGGGCGACGTCCTTAGAAATGTCGCCGGTGGTATTTGTCTGGCCCGCCGAGGCCGACGACGCGCCGGCGCCGAAAAGTGACATTGGAAAGGGCGCGAGAGGTGTGATATGGTAAAGGGTATCGAGGGGGGTCTAAAAAGGATGTGAACCGAAAACAAGGGGAAAGCTGGATTCACAGCTGAGGAGTCATGTAGAAGAGGAAGAAAGTCGAGCTCAATGGAGAAAGGAAGAGTCAGAGAAGTCGATGGTAATTGTAGCTCGACAGAAAGCGATGCGCGATGCCGGCAGAAAATATATCTCACCGCCTTTATGTCTGTGGATTTTATACTTCAGTCGAGTGTTCTTCTTTATTATGTTCCAACCTTTGTATTTTGACTTGAATTACTTGAATTACTTTGGTATGCTTAGTATTTATATATATATGCTTGCCCAGGTGGTTTATTAGCAGGACTATTGCCATACCTAGCTGTGCAAGGTGCCATGAGTCATGACTACCAAGGCAGCATCGCCGGACTGCAGTTATCCGTTGGAAATCGGTTTGATAGACGATCTTAGTGGATGTAGCTTTACTCAATGGTCATATTCGAGGCACTCGGAGAGAGGTGACAACTGAGATGTACTCAATTTGACGATGGCTTTCTCAGCATCACGTCTAACTATACATCTGCAGAAACTTGATACCGAGTAATAAGTGGATTGATACAACTTTATATTCTCCTGTTTATGGCTTGTTCAGTCAAATTGTGAATATCCATGGATAAATTAGAAGTTAGCCAGTGTTAGGATTATGTCTTTCTACCTAGGAGATGCAGGTGTTGGATGATGTAATATGTGTTAATATCCTGAGGCATCAAATTTAGTCATTTAAGTCTACGGGTAAGAGTGGGATGAATAATGGTAATTGATAAAGAAAGGTTAATAAGTAACATTTGAAAGCATTGAGTTTTAATCTGAGCATTCATTTATAGTGGTCAGTTGGATGCATAGGTGGTATGATCATCAGGTGATGATCATATGTTAGTACATAAGTACTAATATATATATAATAGTACGTATAATAGTACACATAGTACATATATAAATACTAACATATTAATATAAGAATGATCTGCCCTAAAATAAAGTGGAGCAAATGCGGGGTGCAGCGCTAAGATTGGCTAAGATTGACGTTGATGTCAGTTATCCGGGGGAGGCCGGTATAGTATGTACGTAGATGGTAGAGGAGTAGAGAAGGATAGTAGTATAGTTAATATAGTAGTATAGTTAATAGTTAATAGTTAATAGTTAATAGATGTAATGGAATAGAAATAAATAACTAGAACAGTGAACAGTGAACAAGGTAAAGGTGGTGAAACACAAGGTACCTCCTTGTTATAGACAAATACCATACAAACCAAAGTCACACATCAATGACCAGGGCACCCCCTCTCACCACAACCTTGGTCACCTGCCCTCCTTCCCCTCTCTTCTCTTCCATCTCCTGATCTTCTCCCTGATTCATCTCTTCCTCATCTCATCTTGATTCTTGATTCCATCTCAATCTTGATACAACTTCTGCAACCATGTCTGTTCCTTTAACCAAAGTCGATTCTGCCATCGCTGGCTTGTCCATATCTGATGAGAAGCCCGAGACCACCGAGAAGGAGGTCAAGGCCAAGTCCCACAGACGGACCTCCTCAACGGCAGAAGGTGTCTGGAACATCAAGGACCTTGGTAAGTACTCAAGTACTCATCAAACTCAATGGAGGGAGCTATACTGACTCTAACTCAGAAGAGCAAAAGATGGACATTACCCTACCAATTGAAACACAGAAGACTGGATGGTAATCTCATCTCACTTCCTCACACATCGATGAGTCCCACTGACCTCTACCCAGGAAACTCAACACCTCCCCCTCAACAATCGAGGACAAGGATATCCTCAAAATGTTCCTCGTCAATCCACCGGTCAAGAAGATTGACCTACACTTCCCCCTTGGCCTAGAAGTCACCGCTCGGAATCTCAAGGGCGTCACAGTCAAGGACGCATTAGATGCCATCTACAAACAGTTCAAGAAGAAGGTCAGTGATCCTGCAGTATAGACCACAAGAGAGTCCATGATGACTGACGTGACCCCGCTAGGCGGATGACGAACTTGACAAACCCTACCTCGCTGGCTTCGAGTGGGACAAGGAAGACTGCTGGACTCGGTTGATCGTGCACCAGAAGAAGGAGGGTGCACCACAGCCTAGCAAGAAGTCCAAGAAGAAGTCCAAGGACGAGGCATAGATTGGCATTGTTCCATCAGCCCGGGTGTTTCATGATATGAGCATGAACACAGACAATTGTCCCCGGATGCCCTCTCCAATTTTTTCGGCCCTTATCCCTTCACTTACCAATCATCATAATGGATGTTCTTACCGGGGACTATTGACTCCCCTCAATCTGCAATACGCTATTTGACTTTTTTTATGTTCTGTTTTTCCACAGTCCCGTTCGGCTGCTCTATGTTCACTGCGTTTCCAATGTAGAAACAAGGATTAGGAGGGCGCGAGGGAGATTTCGTATTCTGATTTTGTGTCTATCTTACTGCTCTTTTATCAGTCGTTTCTGTCTGGCCCGGCTTTATGTATCTACCCTGGGTGGACCGGTATGTGCCGTTCACTCCTTTCAACCCCTAGTGGAGATTAAATCAAGTAGTTCCGGCTATATTCTCTATATTTTTCCAATGTAGATGTTGTATGGGAGATGTCAGGTAGAAAACCAAGTTTGGACAATTCAAGCCCAGGTGGACTTGCCAAGTCACGCTATACCTCGACATCCACAACTTCATATTGTACATGGGCATACTATAGATCCATGAGAAGACAAGATATCTATCCCCTACACAGACGCTAATCCCAAAGCGAACCCCAAGACTTCCGCCCCCTCAAAAAAGCCTCATCCGAGTACTTCGGCGTCATCCCCAGCCTAGTATACGCCGCTTTGATGTTATTCACAACATCACAGTCCAGACTCGGAGTATCATAACGCAGACCGCTGAACATCTCTCCCAGATGAGTATAAAACACCAAATCCAGATCCCGGACTCCAAAGAGCTCCAAATCCGCTTGAACCTGTTTAGGGAGGAATTCCTGTCCCCAGACCATCTCTGTCGCGGAATATTCATCTTGATCCCACCTGTCACCGAAGACGAGTGCTTCGAAGACAATATCCATTCGCAGGCCACCGGCTGGTTCTTTTTGGTCGTCCTTGGGAGGAGTTACAACTGTCAGCTAGGGGTTCTTGCAGGAGGCATATGATGCACGGATGTATGTAAACAAATAGAAAACTCATTATGTAGATACCGGTAACTACGTGTGTATATTATGTAAATAAGTAGAGCTAGACACTCACCAACGCCTCATAAATATACAAATGCTGCCCGCCATGCCCGACATTACTCCTTAGCAGCGACATCGTATACACGGGCGGCTGCTGGACCAGCATACGGCGCCAGCTGGCTTCTGGTCTGATGTATGCGTCCCATTTCTGCGGGTTCTTGACCATGTCGAAGGTGGTGAATGTGACCTTGGAGGTGGGGTTTTCATTTGTAGTATCGGTATCGGGATCATTCTTCTTACTGGTATACTCGAACTGGTCGAAGATGGACGGGAAGGTCTCTGCTAGTAGTGGGTTCTGGGTCTTTGGCTTATTCAATGCATGGTCGAGGGGTCGGAAGAATAGGGCCCATTGGATGCGCGGGGGAGGAATTGATGAAATGGGACCAGCTGTGGCAGATTCGGGTTGCTTTTGTCAGGAGGGTGCGGGTGTCAAGATTGAGGAGGATCAGTTCGAAGATTTCAGGGATGGAGAGGGCGTGGGATTGAGCTGGGGTTGGGCTGGGGGCCATTCTGGCTAAGGAGAAGAAGATGAGCTGTTGAAACACAGCCTGGGAGGGTTTAGGGGCTCTCTTTGTTGCCTGGGCACAATTGAGCCTCACCACATGTACACGTGATGGTTTTATCTTGGCGGATTATTTGGATTATTTGGAATTTGGATGTGTTAGGTGAGAGCATTTGATAATTATGTAGAGATGGATGTATAATCGAGTATATACAGTGCTTGTAAAGAGGAAGAATAAATCAACTTCTCATCGAGGACGACCCGCACTCCCAAAGAGAACCAAGACAATCTCGTCAAGAATCGTGAAAACGAGATGGGTATTAAGATGCTGATTGTTCAGCGTGGCAAAGATGCGGCGGGCAGCAGCCTGCGCATTAGCTCTGCCGACAACATTACCCGCCAGATCCGGGATGAGGGTAGCCAAGACCACAGTGGCCTCGGCACGACTATTGAGACGCTCTGCAGCCGAACGAGAAGGGGCTTTTCGGAGTACGCCGCCGGGCCAGAGGGTATCTCGAGCGAGAGAAATGTACTTGAGAAGTGAATCATCCTGTACCAGGCCGCGCGCTCCGTCGCGGACCTTGCGCTCTATTGTCCCGCCAAGGAGCTGGTGCAAGACAACAACAACGGCACGGCCGCGCAGCCAGTTGTTGCCGCGGTTCAGCTCGAAGGCTTCGAGGAAGAGATCGCAGATGGGCTTGATGAAGGGCTCGAGCTCGCGGTCTTCGAAGGCATTTAGTTCCGCTTCGGCTTCGGCGGCTGTGACGGCGTCTTCGGTTGCGAGGCTGGACTCTGGTATCGCGCTGCTGGCTTGCTGGGTGGCGGCTGATATGAGATTTTGGCCTGCGGTAGATAGCTGGTCTCAGGACGCCGAAGTTGCCGAGGAAGTCATCCATGCCATCTGCGACGGAGTTGTAGATACGGGTGACAAGGTCTTTGGTTTCACCTTCGTTGTCGCGGGCATTTTCCTTGCGGGGCAGGATGGCACGCTGGGATAGGAATGCACGTAGATCGCGGCTGCGACAGACCTCCGGCAGGAGGAGGAGTTTCTGCAGATAGGCTTCGAGAGCGAGTCGCCGCTTGTGAAGGAACTCTTTCTGTAACTTCATGACGACGCGTCGCCGGGGGAATTCCAAGTGCCGCACGGAGGGGTAGCGTTGGCGCAGCTTTTGGTGTAGATCATGGAACTCGCTGTATCGTCGCGCAACGACCCACGATGCAGCAGGCATTTGCTCGCCCGCATTTCTTTGAACCTCCACAACGTCTAAATAACTAGTTAGCTTGGAACAAACGACACATTCGAAACTTCTCTTACACATAGCGAATTCGCGGCCATCATCCTCTTCTTTCCCTACGACAATAGACTTGATGCTAACGGTCGATCGCCCGAACAAGCTGTTATCGCTTTCCTGGAGAATGTACTGTTGCCGCTGCATTTCCTTGCGATGCATTTCGCGCTGGATGCTAGCCTTGGACTTGCGCAGGATTCTCAATTCCGCGGTGTTGTTTGTCAGTTCGGCTTTACGTGTCAATGCTTGGACCACGGCGTCCTGGGCTGCAAGCTTGTCGATATCCACCGAGAGCGCCTCAATCGCTTCCGTTCAGACCTCAAGTCACCCGGTGCAGCTTCATGCACTTCATCTGCGGAGTCTTTTTCATCCACGTCGTCTGGTTCTTCGTATTCATCTTCGATGAATTTCTGTTGATCCGGAAATAAGTCGTCATCAAACACACCAAGTCGGGACGCATGATCAACCAGACCAAGCGATGCGATGCTTTTCTTAGTTCTTTCATTCCGGTTGTCAACCTGGGGGATTTCGGACGAGCTGCGCGACGAGAGAACCGGACGCTCCGGCCCAAACAGACCGGCAGCATCTCCTTTGAGGTCTTCGATTCTTCCATTTTTCGGCTCATTGGTAATGATATCATTAAGCGCTGCCTCCATCGTCTTGAGGACTTGGCTTTGGCTCTGGCTAGCATCGTTCTCGCCATTCTGGGAATCCTTACCCAAGCTATGGGTGGACGTGGCAAGATTGTCGGTGTCATAGTCGTCATCAAAAAGATGAGCAGATCGTTCTGAATCGACTGATCGTCGTGGTGAATCGTCATCATCAAATAATTTTCCCATGCCCCGCACATCGCCAGACGAGACAGCGGCCCGTCGAAGGTCTTTGTTTGGTCTCGATCCCGGTTGGGAGCTCGTTCGTGACAACAAAGGCGGGAGAGGTCGCCTCTCGGGAGCTTCAAAAGTGACTGCAATGGGGGAGGGTTGACGAACTGGCGCCTGGGCAGCAGATGCTTCATCTGACGCAAGATACTTCCAGTATAGATCAGACTCCTTGAACTTGGGATAGTAAGTATCTTGGAGATGCTCTAAAATGGCAGACTGGGTTGTTAAAACCACCATTCGCGCTTTTCGGTATTGTTCCGGGGTGGCACGCTTTCCTGCACTCAGGAATGTCTTGACTGCCCGGCGAGACTCTTCAGAGACCTTCAGTTCTGGCTTTGAGAGATATGTTTCACTGATCAGAGCTAGGTCGTTTCGGTCTGCTGGCTTCCATGCTAATGAAGTAGGCGCTGCCTCATCTCCAAAGTCATCTTCAAGTGGGTTGCGGAACCCATCTACAACAACCCAGAATTGAACAAGAGACATCAGCTTTTGGCGATCCATGAACTCCATGAAATAAGAGAGTCCAGATGCGCTGTGCATCACGTCAACCAGGGACGATTCATGCGTTTTAGATGGGATCTCAGGTCGAAGGTCTAGTGCTGGTGGCACATGGGAATCTTCGCCAGGCTTCGCGAGTTTAGCCACTTTCTGATCAAGAACACGTTTTCCTGTTTCCAGACGCTTCAGGTAGACCTGATCCTGGCCCTCGACCACACTCTCTTGCTTCAATTGACTGGAAACGAGGGCACGAAACCGACGGGCATCGGAGAGGTTATTACATTTCCTGATTGCCCTCACAAAGCGCTCAAAGGCTCGCTCTGAATCGGTTGCTGACAGTCGTGGAAATGGTTGCCCACGCTTGGACTTAGGTGTAGGTGACGCATGTTGGTCCAAAGCGGCGCGCAGTTTGCGTACAGTCTTCCGATCATGCAAAGCTGTGCGGCCATATGCTTCCATCAATTGGTTCCATGTGTCTGGGTCTGATAATGCAGTGACTATCGGAATAAGCACAGCGCATGAGATGATTTCTCGAATCAGAACAGACACAATTCGACTGTTTAGCACGCTTTCCGGGAATAGCTGGGGTAAAAGTCCAACCGCTAGCTTGCGTAGGTAGTCCTGTTGAACAGCCTTTTGATCGGACGCAGAGGTTGCAACAGCGGGATGTAAACGTCCATCACGGTATTTGTTTGCAATGGCCAGATCAAGCTCTCCAGACTCGGTCACATTTCGATTGAGATTGCGCCCCCGGACAGAACGCTCGGCAATGTCAAATTCCTTGAGGTGTGATGTTACAATAGGAAAGATCCGTGATACGATTAGCGAGACCATGTCCTCCGCAACCAACCTATCCCGGAGGTTCTCAAGGGCGACACGAATCGTTCGATCAACCTCATTGGCAAATATTGGGTTCGGACTGATACTGCGATACCACGAGGAAATAAAGTCTCGGGTAATGAAAGATAGAAGTTCGTCGATTCCTTCCGATACGACAAAGGACTGAGGATACAGTGGCCGGGGCCGGTATCGCGTGCTCCGACGGACATTCACCACTTCCTTTCGCCATTGGTTGGGTTTTATGAAAGCCACTGAAACGTTCTTGGTGTTGGCTTTGTCATTCTGATGCCGGATTGTCAATGTGATAAGTCCTAAAAGGCCAACAGAAGATAGGACGGCACCCAGCGTCACGGCACATCCTGGATACCGGAGGATCGGCAGCCAGCGAACCACAAGCCCCCAAGCGATGAATACGCCGACGCCCGCCAAAACTAGGTCGCGGCGACTGAGGGCCATTCTCCGCACACTTGTGTCAGAGCTCCACGGCTCATAACCATCACTCCCAGGAACTTGGGAGCAAACAGCTCGGCATAGTATTATGGTCGGGGTCTATCTGGCCTGATTGGCGGGGAAGCTTTCGTTTGTATGGAGCGCCCTGGGATGAAGTTGATGCCTGGTGGGTTTAAAGGGCCTAGGGGTTAGAAGAGCTAAAGACGTGCATCTCAAATGCAAGGGCAGTATCAAAAAGAGAAGCCAAGCAAAGAGTCGAGAAAGACACGATCCCGTGACCACGGGACCCGTGAACGTCATTTTTGTTTACTTAAGCTGTTTAATCCGGGGCCAACGGTCAACTTCGTCTTTCCCTCTTCTTCTTCCACTTCCTTTTCCTATTCCTCTTCTCTTCACTTTCCTGGTTTAACGATTTTTGCGCCATGGCCTCTCTTACAGATTTTGTCGATTTTTCTTCTAAGCCTTTACTATGTGAGTTGGTCTCTCTACAGGATCTCAACAATTTGCATGTGATTGACCCCAACAGGGTCCGCCGCGACTATTGCTTTTAACCCAATTTTCTGGAAGTGAGTACTCCATATCCGTCGTGATAGATAAAATTACAATGGCAATCATTTATTTTATGATAAATAGCTAATCTGAGCTCTCTAGCATTGTTGCCCGCGCAGGTTCGCTGATTCCACTCGAGTACTGTTGCGTTCGACCTTGGCTAACCGGTGAACAGAGTACCGCAACCACTTCTTGACTCGCCTCTTTGGAGGCGCATACAATGGCTGCTACTTCCTAGCATTCACCATCTTCTCCCTTGGAATTCTCCGTGACCATCTCTACCAACTCGCTCTAGCTGACCAGCCCTTCTACGCACCTGTCCACCAACCGATCGTTGGAGGTGTCTTGTTTGCTATCGGTTCGGTCCTGGTTCTCTCCAGCATGTGGGCTCTTGGTGTGACCGGTACCTACCTTGGCGACTACTTTGGTATTCTCATGGACGCTCCCGTCACTGGGTTCCCTTTCAACGTGACCGGCTCGCCGATGTACTGGGGTAGCACCTTGAACTTCCTCGGTGTTGCACTTTACCAGGGCAAGGTTGCTGGCATTCTTTTGACCGCCCAGGTCTTTGTCCTGTACTGGTTCGCTCTTGGCTGGGAAGAGTAAGTAGTCATTTTTGAAGCTTTCCTAGAACCAAACTGACTGTCTCTAGCCCCTTCACTGCTGAGATCTACGCCAAGCGTGAGCGTGAGCGCGCCAAGAAGCAGGGCGGCAAGAAGCAGTAAACGCCATGAGTGTATACCAGGATTGGCTGGGACATTCAACATCCGCAATCCGCACATCGAAAGAGAGGCTGCGAGAGAGGCCAGGTTGCTCAGACAACTTGACACCCAAAAGTCTGGGGCTGCCCATGACAATATTTCCAGCACACGGATGCATCCGAATCTTCAACGATGCTGGACCTGTAGACGATAGATCTTTGCCTTGTCCTTGATACTGGACAAGGCCCCCACTGTGATTTCCCTTACGCGACTACCAAAGATATAATCTAATCAACCCATCGCGCCAAAACTGCAGTACGACTGTGAATCAGTAGACCTTTGTTGCTTATTTGTGACTGCCGAGGATGTATAAGGAGGTTTGGAAGTGCTTGTCTGTTTGACTGCAATGGGTGAGATATTCTACAGACAAAAGGATGCCCCAGACAATCAAATAAAGGGGATTTGAGGCTTAACATTCTACACTTATGTTCTATCTCTTATACACTATGCTTCTACCATGGGGAATAGCAGAATAGCAAGCTGGTGACCACTGAACAACAATCTAAGTATGTTCATGAAGACTATTCAATGTTGAGACTGATTATCTGCCTGATGCTTGGTTTGTCAAGCTCTATTAAGTGCTACCTAGGTATACAACTGCATAGACTAACTTTTGTTTGTAGTGAATCAATTCTTTCTTTACTCTCCTATTTCAAGTTTAAGACCATATATTACCCGAGTCAATGAGCTTTACACGTCAACTGGTATTCACACAAGCATCCAACAGGGCATGTGCCTTGTTGAGAGGATATGGGCTCAGTCGTCAGACTGTTATGCTACAGCCTGGTGCCTTCGCTTGATTTCGGTCTATACTCATCCCTCAATGTGACTATACAATGCCCCAGGGAAGAGAAGACCGGTTTGAATAGAGATGGGGTGTCTTCCATTTTTCCAAACCGTATATCAGGTACGTTTTACTCTCCCTCTCACCTCCCGGGTCATCAACCTGAGTCAATACCTTGAGACCCCAAACATAAAACTTCAGCGAAAATCAAGCAAAGAGCAGTGCAACTGCCAGACTTTCGCCAACTTTGGTCCCTCGGGCTCACTACCATTGCCATATGTACCATCTGATGCATGGCTGGCTCAACCTTCCAAGGTTCTTGCACCTGCTCCCAGGTGATGAGTAAGTGAGGACCTAATGAGAACTCCCTTGACGAGATATCATATATCATTGAACTCCAGCAGAAAGAACCTAGTCAGATGCCACGAAGCAAAGCATGGCTACAGTCATCGATTTGAGCCTACCACCTAAGGACCCGAAGTTTGGCGACCGAGATAGTCAATCAAGAGCCAATTCAAACCAAACCTGAGTTCCAACGCGCCAAATGCGCTATGCGTGACCTTCTTTGGCCCCTTGGGGTGGACTAACCCAAGAAACTACCCGTGGACGACACCTCGCCCTATGACAAAGCCTGGACTGATAAAGCTCGTCAGGAACCAATAGTCTTTGCTGGCCTTCAGCTTTCTAAGATGGGAGGGAAATCTTCACGAGGATCATAATGGGTTGTTTGCATTGTGCTTTGGATTTGCCTGTGATGGTCCCAGCACGTCGACTACAGCATCACAAGCTCAGTAACCTCGCCCTGCTTAGCAGGAGAGACTCCAGTGATTTCCCCAGAGATGCAAGAAATAATTTTGAGAATCAGGTTGGGTGTGTTTGCCCTGCGCTGTGAATTCGACTGCGATGACCCCAAATCGGCGCCGGCTACGGACTAGCCGTGCGGAATAAAAGGCGAGCCATCATGTTGGAACTACTGCTAGGCCTTTTTCTTACTTCCACTGCGGGTTTGTCCATCAGTGCCAGATATCCTGGGCATTGGCTGGGATGGACCAACCTAAGAATCACTGGTGAGAACCATGATGAACTCGCCTTGCTGAGCCAGATAGCAGGGCCACCCTGGACGAACACTCTCGATGGGAACGGAGTTCAGAAACAGAAGGGGTGGAATCATGGAAACACGCAATCAGGGAGCACAGAGAAACCACTTCGAACGTTCAGGGTGATCTTTTAAAGACGTGCGCTCCAGCCCTATCAATCGAGGCTGGGGTGTTTAGTGTTACCGTGACCGCCAAAAAAGAAGTGGAAAATGGCAGAGCAAGGAGGCAGAAAACAAGAAGGGAAAAGGAAACCAGACAAACCCCATGTGGATCTACGACTGAGGAGATGAAGATACCCACAGCAGAAGAAACGCATCCAAGACTCGGGAACAGACCATTTAGCATGTTCAGCATCTACTTTCCGTAGTAGGTGAATCCAAAGAACCTTCGAATGTAAAAGCACTTGGCAGGCCCATGGTCTCACCGTATACCTAGGTATATGCTGAGAAGACTCGGCTAATCTTGTCGAGCCCATGAACCTGAACAAGAACCGTGCCGAAATCTCCAGGAACCAGTAAGCCACTGACCTATGGAAGGCCCAGGTCTAAACTGAAGACCTGGGAATAGACTCAGATGAGACTGTGATAACCACAACTTGCCATACCCAGACAGACATTGACAGCTTGCGCACCGAGTCTCCAAGGTATGGAAGTCCTGGATGATGAGAAACAAAGTCGCCGAAACACAGAAAGTCGGAATTTGACCGTCAATGTGACATCAACCGAAACCCCTTCCCCATAGAGGACATTGCTCGGCTATGCCAGGGGAAGAAATACAGATACCTGCCGGAATTGTGGCAGTGAGTATCAATGCCGCACCGATGCCCAAATGCCAAATTGTCTGCAGCTGCAGAGGCGTGGTGGTTATGACCTCAAGGCTGTCATAGGCACGCAGGACGAGGCTCAGACCAAGGAACAAACCTACGATACTGATTCCGAGATTGAGGGCGAGGACAAGAAGAATGCCAATGATAAGAGGCAAAGGCAAAATCAAGATAGTGGCACGTGGACAATCTCACCATGCACGCATTGTCTGTTCCCCAAGTGGACTTGCGTGCCCTACTGGGATGGCCAATGGACATTCCAGTTGTTATTTTTCTACATGGATTAATTGAAGATTTCTTGTTAAACCCATAAAAAGTAACCAAAACCATGTTTATTATAGAACTGAGGGTATATACCGACGCCACATGAATCAAAGAGCCCAGAGAGACAGACAGAGACAGAGACAGGGTAGTATGTAGGGTTCATATCACAAGAGACCAGGACATGACAACCAGAAGGCCCAAGATCAAAGAGAGGAAGCAAAGAAGAAAAGCACTGCCAACAGCTACCTTTCACTGCCGCCTTCCCCTTCCCCTCTTCCCCTGTGTTCGACTCTCATCAACAGTCTCAACCTCATCCTCATCAGTCCCCTTCTTCAAGTCCTCACCCTCAGCAAGTCCCCACTTCTCACGATCATACCAGTCCTCACCATCACTCATCTCGCCAACATGTCCCTCGGCCTTACACCACTCCAGAACATCAGCTTTCATGCGGCAAGATCTATTCAGTGAATCGAGCATGTGCTCGACCCCACGCACCGTCTCTTCCTGCTTCTGGATATACGACCAGAGCAGGCGGCGGGTTTCCTCAGCTTCGGCGGCGGGAAGGCCGAAGTTTGGATCAGGGCGGATGTTGTCTGGGACGAGGAAGAGGGGGTGCGGGGTTGGGAGTGGGAATGCTGTCTCGGAGAGTGGGGAGCCGTTCTCATTTTCGTTTGGGTTGACTGCGTTGGCTTGCGCACGCGTTGTCATTCGCCGTGGTGGTTCTGGTGAGGAGCCGTCGTGCATTTCGAGGTCTTGTTCTGTGTCGTCATTGAGTTCCGTTGTGTCGACGGGATCGGCATCTTTCGTTGTGTCCATGTCCTGTTTCCCCTTGAGGGGTGGGTTTATGCTCGCCCCAGCTTCGGCGTCATCGTGTTTGCTGTCCTGGGCAGGGGTCGAGGTGTTAGGGTGAGGTGGAAGGTCTTTGACGGTGGCATCGGTCTCTTCTGATTTAAGCTGCAGGCCATTCTTGGCGGTTTCGGCCTCTGCTGGGACATCGGCCATTTCCACGTCATTCTGCGTTGAACTAGTCTGGGCTTTTGTCCCGTTCTGTGTCGGCTTGGAGTCCTGGGTGGCTGTTGATGCAGATACCTTTTGTGCCACGTCCTGCGGGCCATTGAGATCTCTGTTGGTGGACGGAGTACCAGTCCCACTTGTACCTTGCCCAGCATATACGCTCGGGTCAGTACTGGCAAGCCTGGGGTCGAAGATCAAGTGATCATTAGGCGTCTCGAGCGCACCGCACGGCATCCAACTGCTATCACCGAGGAATTGCCTATGCAAGCTCCTAGCGCGCCAGAGCAAAGCCCGTTCCTGACGGAGCTTGTGTTCGACCGCTGATGTCATTTTCTCCAGGGCTTGCGATGTGTATGCTTGGGACATAGAAGGATGGGTGGGGAGTTCGGAAGGATGCTTCAGGGGACACAGAAGAGCTAGAAAGGAGAAGCAACAGATCAGTCATGAGGCTACGGACAGCATTGAAAGTGTAAAAAGAAAGACTTACTCTCGAGCGCAATACCAGAGAACGGGTTCTCTTCAGCAGCCGCAGCATCGGCCTCGGAATCTTCATCATCCTCATCCAGCTCGTCTCCCTCTGAATCATAGCGAACCGGGTTCGGCTGAAGAATGTAACGAGTGTAACCAGCGTGATCGACTCTCTAATCGCCGTTCAAAAGTCAGTTTCCATAAAATCCCCACAGCGCCCAAGTCCCGGAATCGGCAAACCACGCACCTGCTTGTAGTAATCCTCGGCGTTGATGTAGCCCAGTGCACCCTCGCTCACATACTTAGCATTAGCATGCATTTTGTTCCCCCGGTTCGTCGGCGCCATGATGGGGTCGTCCGGGCCATTCTCTGGCGAAGAAAGATGTCAGAAAACCATTATGCTTGCAAAGACAGACGGGAACCTACCTTCACGCTCTCTGCGCAGAGCCCGCTTCATGCCGGTGATGGTATCGGCGATCAACGCCGCTTGCGCCGCCATAATTACGGTGTCGGCAACGAGGCTGTCGGGTCAGGCAAGTTGTGTTGCGCGTGAGAGGGGATTCTCAGGCAAACGGGGCGTGGGAACGGATTCCCGAGGAGGGGGGAAGTAACAGGCTGGATATTTCGGTGCTGGGGCCTCAATTATAGCTGCAGATACTGCGGGATCAAGGGAAGTGATCTGTAATGTCTTTGACTGACTGTGATGAAGCTCTCTGACGGCGAGACATACGGAAGACCGATCGCCGCTAGCCTCATTAGGATATCCAGGTTATGTGATAAGGGCTGGACACGTGACGTACCCTCATCTATATGTACAACATACAGAGAGAGTATGGAGTTGGGAATGACTATTTTATATACAATATTTGCTTATTATGAGACATTCCAATTCATCCACAGCAGGTATTTCAGATTCTGGGTCTTATCATTCAATCGTCGGCATCAACCCATACCAGAACCCCCTTCTTGTCCGACCTCATATCCCCCGTTGGAAGGACGCGGAGTGTTTTGTTGAAGTAGGTATCAATAACTACCAGTTGTGGCTGAATCCATAAGCCACGCTTCGCTGCAAACAAATTGAAGTTCACTGTGTGGCGACTCAGCGGCACAAGCTGCACAACGGTGGTCTTCGGTCCGCTAAAGGCAAAGTGCTCGCTAGCTTCCATGACCAGGTTGAAGGTGAGGAAATGGGTGGAGGGGTTCTCCAGTACATAATCCATATGAATCAACCCCGCCATACTGCTAGATGGGGTAGCCGATGCAAGAACTCGAGGCTCGCCCATTGGGACCACAAATCGGGGAATATCAAGGACGGTGGTTGTGACTGAGTCCTCTGCGTCCGAGGAAGCTACAAATTCAGATGACTGCCGGCGCCAATTGATCTCCAATGTGCAGGTGAGCGCAGTTGGTCGGCGGTCTCCGAGAAGGAGCTTCTGGACATCGAGGCAGAAGTTGGATTCTCGCAGTTCTTCCGGTGCGAGATGTGGCGTTTCGGGAGTCACAGGCTCTTCTGAGTGAACATCGCAAATGACTCCCCCGTTGGCTTCGAGAAGAACCAGGGACATCTTGTCAATTACCAATGGCTCCAGTGCAAAGGAAACTACCTTGGAATTGAGGTACCACTTCTGGAACAGGCCTCCAGGACTTGGCGCAGAGCCATCCTCGAGTAAGTTGTCGCTAACTGCGAAGAAATTGGGCCACGGCTGAGGGTGAATTGCCGGCAAGAATTCATAGTTTGCTTCAAACGGCCGAAATAAATGATAGATCCACGGTAGTATTCTTCATAATCGGGGTCTGGGTATCAGACACCAAATGGTACACAGTCGAAACCTCCAAGGTGAAATCCGTAGCCTCCTGGGTATCGACCAACACAATTGTAAGAGTTTTGTGGGAGGAGCGCTCCAGAACACCCACAGATCGTTTCAAGTAATGAGACGGCCCCCCAATCGGAGTGCTGGCGCCTGATTCGAGGGGTTCGGGGTTGCTGTCGCCGTCGAGCCACTGGATTTGAGCTGCGGACTCGGTGCCGAACAATCTGATCTCAGCAGATATATCGGCAGCTTCGTCTTCTTCATTGTGTATACCAATCTGAAGCATCACCCGTTCATTGGTGTAGTAGGTCTGCTTCAGGTTGGGAGTTGTGAGGCGGATCTTGGGAGGCTTAGGCATAACCTTGCACCTGCCAGTATCCCGATCCTTGCCCACTCTCCTACGGGCCACGCCCTTTTGGGTCTGCTCCCACCAGAACGATTCACGCTGTTCTGGTTCAGTGACCGCATAACCCAAATCGAATTGTTCTTCTTCAATTAGCATGGTGATTGAAGCAACCTTAGCTTCACCAGCTTCGCGAGGAACACAGGTGAGGTCAAACACCTTGGTCTGAGAAGGCTCCATAGTCAGATCTGCCATACCTACCAATGCGGTCAGTCCACCGGCTGGGGATTGGACTGCCGTATCAGCGTTGCTCGGTTCGCGGAGTGGAAGAGTTGCGATACAACATGAGGTTGTGGTGTCAGCATCCTGGTTCTGGTCAGATTGAACCTTTACCGGTCGAAGACATCCTTCGAAAACCAGTTTGACCTCCGAAAGCCGGATAGGGGCCGAGGATTTATGAGCACTGGATGTGATGGCAAGTTGTGCACGTAGAGGTTCGCCAACGTTGCCATCGGATTTCTCGAACACCAGCGACGCGGTCACTTTGAAGACAGGTGTCAGTGCAATCTTTGCATTTCGGGCTTGCCAACTTACGACTTGTTATAACATCCTCTGCACGAAGGATAAGAGAAGGTTTAGGCTTTTCTGAGGGTAAACTGTCAAGACTCTTGTGAATGTCATAATGCCACGCAGGTCTCGGTTTGAAATCTATCAAAATAAATATTAACATTGAAGGCAATATGCACAAGATAAATGGAATTGACTCACTCTTATTCAACAGCTCCCAGTCCACTCGCAAGATTGTCTCGCTGTCCTGCATCCTGAGGGCACATTCTCTGAGTGCCCACCCGAAATTGGCCATCAGATGCCACCACCCTGAGCGGCGCCAGCTAAGAGTAGACCACAGCGGCCGAAGAAGCCCATGCGCTTCGGACCATGAGCCAATACGCATATACTCCTCGGCTGCCTCAAGACTCAAGCTCTCGACTTTCCTTGTTTGGTTGCGTTTTGCGTATTCCTCGATAGCAGCCTTCAGCGTGTTTAATATTAGACCAGAATGGTCGAAGCCAGTTCGTCCTTCTTGGGGTGCTTCGGCGTGAGTGTCGGGAACAAGGTATGTATCGTACAAGTAGGATTTATTTGCGAGTTGTGAGGCGGGTGATTGCCCGGGGGGGCTTGCGATCTTCCAAGGGGATTTCCTGGGCAAGCGCACGTCGCAACATCGTATGTTTCGCTGAACGGTGTAGCCAGTAACCTTCGTGATGGAGATGTTCCCAGGGCCTAACTCTTTCCCCGGTTGGAATCGATTTCTCGGGTAGAGCATAGAGCTTCCCGGGCTGCTCAGAAGAGATTTCGCTGGAGATAGGCGGAATTTCCGCTCGGCGGATAAGCTGTGCCATTACCATCGACCAACGCGCCTCTCCAGGCCTCCCACCCGTAGTGTTTACTGCCCTTCCCTCTGCGATTGACAATATCCTTTACACGGATTCTGTGGTCAACCCAAAGACGAGCTGCGGCGGTCGTCTGACCCGTCCATAACAGGCAACGTATAATCCGAATGGCCAGGGCGTCGGCCAAAAGGCGCGCATCGTTGAATCGAGGATTCCAGCCTGCAATATTTTCGAAGACTTCATGCCCAAACAGAGTTTCGTACGCACTCTCATAGTTCCGGCAGGCTGCATCCATTTCTTGGCGAAACTCGGCAAAAATTCCAAGCTTGAATTCATACCGTACGTTCCAGCCTTGGGACGATAGTGTCTGAGAAGTTCCGGTCGTTGGTGGTGCAGTCGGAGGGGGGATATTCCCCCTGTTTCGTTTGCGCCTGGCATGCTTTGACAGATCCCGATAGTATTCAACAACCGACGGTTGCAGTAGAGAGTAGAGTGATTTCACAAAGTCTTGCAGTTCCGACGAAGTCGCGTCTGGTGGGATCACAAATATTGATCTGGGGTCAAGGTTTGTTGCCCGCCGAATCCCCGCAATTCGGTCATCAATCTCGCCCTCATAGCCGCCTTCTTCTCCGTCTTCTGATAACAGAACGACCACAAACCGCGTCTTGTACCCGGAGGATTGCCATTCTTTTTTCAAGCTATTGATCTCGATCTTGAGTTGATTGTCTCGTAGCGAGTTCATATTCGGGTCCAGAGAAAACGGGAAGAAATTTATCACTGCTGCTGGAACCAAGTCCTGGTGTTTAGTTACCCATAGAGGGGTGAGCAAGCCATCTGGGAAAGTTGGGGAACCCGGTGACAGAGGCGATATCGGCGAGTGGAGGACATAGTGTGAACTAGGCTCAGAGTGTTCATTGTCCTGGTCATCACTGGGTGTAGTTGGTGGTGAGGGGATAGGGGGGTCAGCTTTTTGTGGAGGGAGTCTGCATGACTGTGTTGGTGTTAGCAAGTGGTCCGCAGTACGTTGTGAAACCAACGGGATTAGGATCGTAGAGTATCAACATACGCGGCCAGAACTTTTGATGCGGTAACCAATATTCGCTGTCGTAGTATTCCCGCTTACAGTAACTCTAGACTTCCATGGCGCCTGAGAGCTATCTTCCTCTAGAAGCAAGCTCCGGAGCTCCTCCGCAACAGCCCCGCTCAGAGGTGGGAAGTCTGAGAAGATATGGGTCCCCTTCTCTGATAGCAGAGGATAATCCGATGGTGTTCCTGGCTCCTTTTCAGGGTCTGCCTCCAGCCCTGAGAGCAGGACTAAAGGCAGATTGTGATTGACGTAGTCTTCGGGGTAGGCGTCCATTGCGGGCAATGGCTATTTCGCAGCGCGGTCACCACATGTCTAGAGCATAAGGAAGACGTGGGAATTAACGAAGGGACAAGCTGTAAAAATCCAGGCTGTTAACGAAAGTCAAGCCCAAATATGCTTGAGTGTCAATGATGTTTTGGGGGTAAGATAGGCAATGAGGGATACTGCCATGTCGGGCGGTCAACTATATGTTTACTCCGGAGCTGGGAGTTGACCATGTACTTCTTGTTATTTTGACATATGTAGATCTATATGTAGATCTACGGAGTATATCTTGAAGCAATAGGTTTGCTATGTAAGTTGACTTATATAGTGTGGTAAATATAAGATGTTTAATTGGCGCATAGGTTATGGCAAGCACTCCGTATATGTCTGGACATACTATAGATCCGCTATATATATTTGCGTAAGTGTTTTACTATTTTTTATATTATACTATTTCGCTTTCAATCATTTTATATTCAGATTTACATACCTGGATACCTTTGATTGCGTATGTTGTAGATATTTATTTACCCTCTAAATGTGAATTGATCAGTATCATCCTCGTATAGCCTATTAAGCCTATTAAGCCCATTGAGCCTATTAAGGGGCAGAAGAAGCAATTTGGAATCCACGTGGGATCTCAAATACTGATCTAATATATATATATACGGAGTATGATGTACATAGTATCTATAGTTATTGATCTAGTATATATTCTACTCCGTACTCCAACTCCCTACTTATATACCCATTGTACTCCGAAGTATCGGCAAATTAAGATCTTCTGTGGAGAAAAAGGCGTCAACGCTAAGAGATCTCAAAAAAATAAGAAGAACTCCCTTTTCATTCCCTTAAACTCCATCACTTAATACCTTTTTGTTTTACTATTCTCTCTTTTCATCGGTATAACCGGGATTCCTTTAATCTTCCTACGCTCACTACCAATTCCCAAGGTCCCTTTTAATCTCCATATCTCATTTGAATTTCTGTAAGGGGGGGGCACCAGAAACCCTTATCAAACATCTTTCGCATGCAGTAGATCATGCGCGCACCCATTTTACCCTGCATTCGATCCTTGAAGTTTGTTTATTCTAAGGGTTACACCCTTAGACTATTGAACTATGTCGAACGAAAATCCCGTGCAAGCAGAGTCAGCTCTGCTTAGTCGGCGTCGACGCCGTAAATCGCTACCTTCGCGCAATGGGACCGATCCAACCTCGCCTGAAGTCATTTCCTCCCTCATTTCCTCCCTTTCCACCATCTCAGTACCTCTAAATTCCCACTTCGACACCATCCCGAAGATCGACAACGAATCAGACCCAGGATTGCCAGAAGTACCGCGCACCGCGCCCGTTTACTCCATTCCTCCATCCGAGCAGCATGGGTTTGGAATGAGTTACGGTGCCTACAAACCAACGGTCGAGCCACCGGCGCTACCGGAGAACCCATTTCTACACCCCGATGATGCGGCCTCGTCGCCTGTCATTCGCATGGCCCGGGCACCCCCGTCACCAAAGTCACCCCGATCGCCGAGATTCAAACCGTTCAGAACGACCGACTCATCGACCACTCGTCCAGCTTCAAGGGAATCTTATACATCTGTGATAGCCGCTCCAGAGCCTTCCTCATTTGGAACGATCAGCACGGAGCCTGGTCCTCGTCTGTCGACCCCGAGCATTGCTTCGAATAGTTCTGCAGGTCGGACAAAAAGCCTAAAGGGTCAATTGAGTCTATTGAAGAGGTCATCACGGGAATTCATGGGCGAAAAGGATCCACAAATCGAACGCCTGCGAAAGACTACTAGCTACAACGACAGTCTACGACACAACGTCCCGCGCAGTCGAGCAAGCTTGCGCTCATTGCATTCCATGGCGGAGGTTACAGAGGAGGCTCGCCCTGCGGACGTCAAGGAAGAGCCATATGAAGAGAAAGTCGCAAGCACCCCAACCAAAGATTACCAATCGTTCCACGGTACCCCAGATGTTAGCAACCCCGGCGGAATTGGAAGCGGTAGAATCATTCCAACTCGCGACTCATCTCTGCGACATCGGCATAGCCAGTCGTCAAGCTCGAAAAAGCACCGGTCTGCTCGTCATAGTCGATACTCGTCTACAGCCAGCAAAGAGTTCAATGCAGACAATGGATTACCAGGGACGAGTAATGACGCAGAACAGGTGACCCGCCGGATCCAAGAGGTGAAAGACCAGCAACGGAAGATCAAGACCGAGTTGGAAGTGGGAAATAGCCCTGAACATTCGACTAAGACGAGCCCCGCGAAGCAGGCGAAGCCTTCAAAGGTATCACGCGTTCTAGGATATGATGTCAATCAGGCCATGCAGAATGGACCACACCGCGATCGGCCATCTTTCAACGACAGTGCTCCTTCTCCAAACGTGATGACAGGGAAAAGTCGCACTGGGAGCCGGCCAGGAGCCCCACTCGCATCGAAGCCTACCCACCTACCATCGCAGTTGCCCAAGTCTTCTGTGGAAAGACCAGATTCCGAGAGAGCTAGACACAGACAGTCTCTGGAGCCAATTACACCAACCACCCATCGCCGAACGCCATCCGGACACCTGTCCCATCTGTCAAATGGACGTCCCTCGTACAGCACCGAACGACCATCCAGTGCGGATTCAATTGATCTTGCTGTTGACGACTACATCTTTTCGCCGAAGCTGACCCAAAGAGTGATCCACCCAACCACCGGCCGCTCCATCGCCTTCTCCGAAGTCGGTGATCCTAAGGGCCATGTCGTGCTTTGCTGTGTCGGCATGGGTCTCACTCGGTATCTGATGGCATTTTATGATGAATTGGCCCGGACACTCAATCTACGACTGGTCACATTGGACCGCCCTGGCGTTGGCGAGAGCGGCCCACACCAGGGAGACGAGCCGAGTACCCCTCTCAGCTGGCCCGGTAAGCAAGACTGCCGAGAGATTCCAATCCTGCGCTAATCAGTAACAGATGATGTTGCAATCGTTTGCAACCACCTCCGAGTGACTAAATTTTCCATACTTGCCCATTCTGCCGGTGCAATCTACGCCCTTGCAACGGCTCTCCGAATCCCGCAGCATATTCGTGGTCGCATTCATCTCCTAGCTCCATGGATTCCCCCATCCCAGTTGTCTAACATTGGCTCCAAGAAGGAGCCCGCGCCGACCAACGCGGTGCCTTACTCCCAGAAGATTCTTCGTGCTCTTCCCACATCCCTCCTCAAAGTGGCCAATTCCAGCTTTATGAGTGCCACTAGTGCCAGCATCACCACCAGTTTACCCAAGTCCCCGCGACGGGCCAAGCGCAAGGCTGCTACCAAAGAAGCTTCCAATGCGACCGCCATCCCTCCAGTACCGGCCATACCTTCCGTTGACCCCAACCCGCAGACCCAGCGAGTTGACATTGTACCGAATATTAAACCGTCCGCTTCAACCACCGCGTCGTACAGAAAAAGTGACGCGACTCTCGGGTCTCGCGCAAAGTCTCCAGAGGACGAGGTCGAACGGCAACGTGACTATGATACTCGTCTCACCTACAAGATCTGGGAGCTGGCCACCACCAACGCCAACCCGGCAGTTGATTTGCTGACCTGCCTCGAGCGTCGCCAAACAATTGGATTCCGCTACGTGGATATCACGCGATCTGTGGTGATCCACCATGGCAGCAAAGACCCTCGCGTTCCAGTGGAGAATGTCCAGTGGCTTGGCAAGACGATGCGCCGCTGCGAGGTCCGGATCCTTGAAGGCGAAGGTCACGGCCTCATGGCATCTGCTGGTGTCATGGGCAATGTTTTGACCGAGATTGCCAAGGAGTGGGAGGACTGGACGATCCTTGTCCAAGGCAAACGCCGAGCAACTGCCAGCCATGCTGCACGGCCTGGACTCTCGATCCAAACTTGATCTCCCCAGCCTGCCCTATTTCCCCCTTTATCGGATGCCAAAGGCATCTTCACTTCCAGCCCTGGTGCCCCATCTTCCCCTAATTACCATCGCACTCATTTCGACAGGCTAAGCCGCAGCTGGTCTGTGGTTCCCACTGTTCTGACCTACACCTTCAACTTCTATATCCTATCATTTATCCTTACCCCCTTTCTTACCCGTCTACATACACCTACTCGAGGTTCATGTCCTCTCTATGATTTACTGTTGACATGGGTTTTGCCTTTGAACAAAAGAACCCGTCTGATTTAGCATAATACCCAGTCATGCCATATACTAATCAATATTGTTAATTCACCTTGACTTATACCTAGGTACATATATATAGTAAAAGTAAAAGTAAGACAAGATACAAAACAAGCATATATTATTTACATCATAGCTTCCGCCAAGCATCAGCGCTCAGACGGGGCAAACCCGCAAATCAGGGATGACATTGCCCTTGGCCCCTTGACCCCACTTCTCCTGACCTCCAGGGCTTGTATGGAACTTCTTGATCTTTTTATTGTTCCTGAAAGATTTAGGATCAAATGTGCAGGTGTCGAATGTTCCCAATACGTTGAACTGTTAGCTCTGCCGGGAACGGAGGAAATCTTGGCTACTGGAACACGTCACGTTGTCTCGAATTCACCCCGGACCTGACGACTTGGGACATTTTGGATTCAGCCTCTTTTTTTTTCTTTTTCTTTTTCTTCTTTTTTTTATATCCAAGCCACAAGCCGCGAGGCTATAAGCGCAACTCTCCATGCCTTCTTCCCAACGGCGGCTTCGACTGGTCGTCATTGCGGTCATCGCGCTTCTTTTCATGGTCTTTTACTACACTGTACCACCCCAGATCTCCCACTTTCGCACTGTTTCTTCAGATATCTAATACAACGAAATCAAATCCACAGGGCGATGCGACCAAAATCCAGAACCAAAAGTTCTACCGGTCAACCCTCGACGCAATGAAAGCCAAAGAGCAAGCCAAGCAGGCCAAGGCCCAAGAGAAGATCCAGCATCCTGTGCATGCGCCCGGTCAGAATGTCGCTGCCGGTGCGGGTGCCGGAGAAAAGGTGCCGGTCGCTGAGGTCG